GGAAGACGAGCAGCCACGCGCGGATATCCTGGCAGAGTGTTACGGAGAACGGAGAACAGTGGCACAGAACGCACGTTGCTCCATTTTCGTGCAACACGCACAGAAAAGCCCCGTTCTCTCATCCTCCTGTCCGCCGTCTCTCGCTCGCATCGCCGACCGTCCTAGTACAACGTCGAGTCGGGTTGGTTTTCACGGTCTGTGCTCGAAAGGGTTGGATATCGGTATCCCGCGGTCGAACGAACCCAGTTGACTCTGCCGAAGTCGACCGAGGATCCAGGTGTACCGTCTCGGTGATAGAGGATCCAGGTGTCTGGCGCGTATCCAGTGGAAACGGACCGTTCGCGACGCGTCTATAGGAACCGGTGGTGAAACGGGACACGCGACGCGCCGTAATTTTTCGTGCACCGAGGGAACCACGAATTACGTAGTAACCGGGCGCTTTCGTTTTCGACGAAGAGAACAGTGCACTGTGATTCGTGAGAGACCCGCCACCAGTGAGTTTCCAGGGACTGGTTCCTCGAGGGCGAAACGAAGGTCGCGCAGGGTCCGGGGAACCGAGCGTCATGGCCGCGACGAGGATGGACTGGAAGATTAGATTGTAAGTGATTACTTTTTATTACCGCTGCTCTCTGCGTTGCCCAAGGCTGGCTTCTGGCCCGTTGGATGATGCGAGTCATCTCCTGTTACTTGTTTTCAGAAGGACATTGTCAATGTACGAATTCGGCATCGCGATTTCTTTAATGAAATGTTACGGGAGCATCTTTTGAGTACAATTGAATCGTGGACCAAGGAAGGTAGTTTGTAGATAGAGTAATGCGTTCGATATGTCCGAAAAGATGCTGAAACGCCTCATTAGGTGCCAATTCGAATAGTACAGGGAGCTTTATACTTTTTAGAGGGTACTAATAATTTTGGAATTGCATGTTTTTGTATACTGTCGGTTCCATAACTATTCGTACCCTGTGTCTCTATTGAACACACTTGCCTAAATGAAATAGTAAGCTTAATATTTCCAAATAAATGTTCCATTATGAATATGTACATGAATAAACTTTACGCATGTATATATTTATAATGACAAATTGATATGGAAACGTCAAACCTATCATTTGATTTGGACAAATTTCTTCAATAAACATAGAGGGTACGAATACTTATAGGATTGACTGTGTTTGGTCGATTCTCTTTAGCGAACGTTTTAACCACGTGATCGTAATTGCAATAAATACTAGTCTTATTATAGATCGATAGATCGAGATTCCAATGGACAAAACGTTACTTACAAAACTAGCAAAGTGAATTTCCAAAAAATACATTTAAAAAATTAGTAGAGAAATCCCAGAACAAAAAGGTTCAAGATCTCAAATCAAAGCCTGTAAGGTAAAACGACTAACGATCGATCGCACGGATCGATCGCTAGCATCGCACTAAGAGGCTGATTGCGCGTTCTTTTATGAGAAATCAAGGATATCGTTCGTCCCGCGCTTTCGTCGAAGCCTCCACCCCGTCGATCTTCTCAGACGATACGGAAAGTTTCTATCACGAATTTATGATCAAAAATATGTAATCGATTAGAGGAAGAATCATCGAGCGTGAAACCCCCGCGTATCTCGTTAATCTGTTATCCGCGTCGCCCGCCACTCGATCTTCCAAGAAACAGTATAACATCGCTCTCCGCGGAGTAAATAATAATCGTTGCTTTTCTTTTGGATGGAGCGCGGCTGAGATACGATCTTCCCGTTACGAGACTGAAGCAGAGTTACTGTTTCCTCGCGTACTCGCGACGCCTAAACCGGGAAAGCTTGTCGTCGCGGTGGCGGACGCGTCGTCTCCTTAGTTTTAGCCCCTTAGGAAATGGTCTCGTGTAAAGGAGCTTGTGTAGATTAAAATATTGCATCGAGTGAACAGATGTTGCGAAGCGATTAAAAATGTTCGCAAAGAAGTGAAAATAATACTGCGTATGGTAACATGAAAAATGGAGCAAAATTCGGTAGCTATTCGGATACGACTAATTAGCTCTTCCACCTGAAAGGGACAGTAATTATATGCGACACGGGTCTCTTAAAATTCCCTCTCGACTCGCTGAAATTGCACTTTCTTCTAAATGCACTCTCTCGCGCATAATTTACACGCTTACACGCACTTGTTCTCTTGAAATTAAACGTGCCAAAATTGCAGCGGCCATTGCACCGAAGACTAACGAACCTTCTGACCTAGACCTATTTTAATGGAACGGAAAAAAGTGTTACGATACTTTCAAACGCGAAAAGAAGAATTAACCAGTCTTATAACAGAAGAGATAATGATTCTGAGAGGCCGATATTGTCGATTAAGCCGTGAGCTTCCAATCTATTTAAATGGAACTACCCCTAATATGATATTTTTCAAAACAGAGACAAGTAGAATCTCGATATCATTTGCACTAAAACCTAGACAAATGAAATTGACGAAATGTACACGTTAAAAAGACGAATACTCGTAAAAATTTCTCAATTTTTTCCTCAACTTTGACTCCGATTCTAATGATTCCACACGCATATTTTATTCCTAGTAATTTCCTATCCACTTTTCCGTACATATTGCTCGCTCGTCGATCTCCATCCCGCGATCAAATATTTGAAGAAGCAGAGCGTCGAAATAACACACGTAATTCTCCGTCGGTGAGCAAAAACCGATCGCGATTGGATAATAATTAGGTAATTATTGCCGCTCGGCGTGCACGAAAGGTGGCGTAATAAGCGGATCGCGGAAACGATCGTTATCCGAGGCAACGAAAAACGATCGATCGGCGATCGCAAGGTTGGCCTTGATCTCTTGATCGATCGTCGTCGATCGGAGCGTCGACCAATCAAACGGGACATTAACCACAGCGCTCACGGTGGATCGCGCGTTGGTTTGCATGCACCGCGATAGGGAAGAGATCGCGGCAGATCTAGTCGATCCGCCGCGCGCATGTGTGCGTGCGTGTGTCCGCGTAAATTATATCTCGGAGAGCAAGCGTACACCGAAAAGCACTGGTAATTAAAACGAACGTGTACACGAAAGTGTAGTACGCGATAATGAAATCATTAACATTTTACCGTCACGCTTCTTTCTGCGTTGTTGCACGCAGCAACCCGAATGAAACGAAACACCGCGGCTTACGTTTTCATCGCGTACACATCTGCGAGTCATTAACTCGTCACTTTATCCGTTCGTTTGCTTGTAACTTAATGGCTTGATCTATTTCTTTCTGCTGTTGATTTAATAGAAGGATTACGAGATACACGATAAGTGGTAGAATTATGCGATGGAGACGATAGACGAGGAGTAGGCCTTAAGTCTTTGGTTCGTATTTATGAGTACTTGCTTGAGCAGGGATTAGTTAAGGACAAGAGGAGAGAAGAATTAACAGGTTTTGATATAAAAGATGAAGGGTGACTTGCGTGGAATTGGACGTGTTAAAAGCTGGAATAGTTGACGCATTGAAATTTGAATGCAGTTTTAAATTTTAATAAAGATTTCATAGAGATAAAGGAATCGGAAGAATGCTATCAAGATGCGCCTTTTTATTAGTGCTTGGAAGACTTGTTATAGCTTCATTAAAGCGCTATTGACTTCAATTTCGCCTTCTTAGGTAAACTACGATATTTACATACAATCATGATACAGATTACTGCGTAATTTACCGAACAAAATCGAAATCATGGTCGGAAGCGTTTTAATAAGACTGTAATAGGTCTTCCAGAATCTACTATAATGGCGAAGTTTCATTTTTATTGAGCAACCAATTACTCTAATTTTAAAATCCTACTTTCGATTAAGAAATAAAGTAAGAGGTACGTTCTTCAATTAAGAGCGTAATGGAAGAATACTTTCAATTAAAACTCGATCTCTTGTTGGACAAATTTTCTCGTACTATTCTCCAACAGGAAAATCTTTACTAAAAACATTACATTAGGGGGGCCAGAAAGTAATGTCGTTTCTTTTAGATTAAATTCAAACAAATAAATTTATAATATGTTTTTATTTTTAATCAATTATGTAATTGTCCTTGTTATCAACAATCCTTTGCCAACTAGTGTTCAAATTTTCAATATCTGATCGATAAAAATCAATTACACAGTACAATCAAGTACGCAGTGAGTTGATGAATAATAAACAAGTATTGCCATTCGCAGAAACAACATTACTTTCTAGTGCCTCTAATAGAAACTTTACCCTTAAATGCCCTAAGTTTCAAATTTAATACCGGACATTTAAATCGAATTGTACACTTGCAATTGGTTTGTTTTTAATATTTGACAATATGTATGTTACCATTGCATAATGTTCTTTTCAACAAAAGTTAAAAAAATGAAAATCAGGCTTCTAAGGGTTAATCATCATGTTTGATAATTGATGATGATGAATCTTTCAATTAAATCAACAGCAAAAAAAAAATAGATCAAGCCATTTAGTTACGAGCAAGGGTTTATCAAACATGAATTTTGCTTCAGACAGCCTCTCATCTTATTCATAAATTCAACCAGAGGAAATCAAAGATGGTGTAGTTGAAAAAGTAACCAACGAAAGAATCGAAAATAGAGTATCCAGGTGAAAGTAGCCCAGGTGCGATTGTACGCGAGCAATCCGACCACGTAAACTGGCCGATAGGGCGTCTCGGCGTTACGGATCCCATGGGAAGCTGCACAAGCGTTGCATGCGTGCGCGATATCTGAAATCGTGACGCACTCGAGCAGCCGTTCCCGTGTACGCAGCCCCGATACGTGAGCTATACGACAGCGTATAACGTAACATGCACACAGAAGCGGGAACACGAACCGACGAACACACACCGGGTCCGTGGTGTGTGGTTAATTTACAGCTAGTTCTACAGCTCGTATCCTCCTCGTATCTCGAGCGTCGTATCTTGCCTATGACGTTCCTGTCAACTGCTACGGGATCGTAATCCCGGAAGTGGGTACGGATCGGCCCCAGCCGTTCAGAAATTGCAATCGGGGCCCAGTTACGCACCCCTAACTCCTCTGCTTTCGTGCTTAATCGGCTGATTCAACGTTTCATCTTTTAAACAAGCACTTTTATTCGAATTTTGTTCATCTTCATCGTAAATCAGGTGAAAGATCACTGTACGAAAGAAGATCAATGCATCGACAACACGTGTCATTTACGCGTGACGAAACATCCGTCGTGAACGTGTAATCTCATCCGCTTTACGAGCTGGAAGCGAGAATGTTGGAGCAAATTTGATGCAAAGCCGCGACTTTTTTATTATCGACTCGTTAAACTTGGAAACCTGTTCTCGAAATGGTCCCTGTAATGTAGTAGTATCTTTTACGAGCCATCGTGTGATAAGTATCAATAGATTTCGTCACACCTGGAGACTTCAGAGCTTTTCCGTTCATTTCTGCAACCTGTTATGAAACGGGATCGATTTCGCTAGTAAATGGAGGACTTGTGCCGAGTGCACTTCACGTTCGAATGGTGGCGGTTCGGAGGATTTTCCTAGTAGCTTTCGTGTTGATAGTTGTTACATACTTTGCGATCGCGTGACGAATAGGGAACGGAGATGGGAGACGCGATATGGTTTACATCTGGGATATTGAATGTGGGTACGTG